TCCAGATTCATCCACTCATTCACATAAACGAACACGACGCAGTACTTCGAAAACAAGCATAGTATTACCAATAAACGCATTTGGGAAGTATTTTCAACTCGTTTTGTTTCCTGATCGGGAAGTGGTTCATCCAGATGCCAAGTTAATTGTTGGTGGTCGAGAATGGATTGGTGGTCTTCCAGCAGCGACTGATCATGTTGTCAGAGGATATGTTGACGGATTCACGGACAGTGTTGTTCTTGGTAGTTTAATAGACGGAGTGTTTCGGGGGACTGTGTTTTTGAATAAAAGCAAGTTATTGCATTCTCCGCCAGGATCTTATGATACCTATTTTATTGAACCATCGGGATATTATTTTGACGAAGATTTTCCGTTCCATTCTGTCATATATAATTCGTTGGATGTCAAGCTTCCTTCTGTTGGCCACAGTCGTATGCGTCGCAATGTTCAAGAGATGAACTATAAGTTTTGCGGACTTTCAGACCCTCATATTGTTCAAGAAATGCGTAAAACAAGTCATATGTGGGGTCGTGAGAAACATGAAACTACCGGTAAGCCCCGTAACATTTAGTTACTTCTTGTCTTAAAGTCAATCTGTGTAAACGTGCACTAGTCTAGGAGCAACATTCTGTAACTAGCAGGTTCAAATTATGTACAGAAGGCTCGATTGGCTTTTACCAACCTGCGTCTCTTATGGCGTAGACGATTTGTCCGTTTGCCGAACAAAGGACGAGTGAACTGCGCGGCAGTTTGTCCCGTTGCACTTTATGGTTGCGAAACATGGCCAGTCAGAGTAAAAGACATTCGTAGGTTACTGGTTTCCGATCATGGACGTCCGAATATCTTGTGACAGACGAGTAAACAATGCTGTGGTTAGGAAACGGGTGCTAGGTAAGGATGGCAGGTCAATAGATGAAGTAATGAGACTTCATCAGTTAAAGTGGTTGGGACATGCGTTGCGTATGCCCAACCACCGACTGCCTCGTGGAGCTATGTTCTGCGATATAGGAATAGGTTGGAAGAAAATAAGGGGCGACCAGAACAAAACATGGCATAAATCCATGAAGTGACTGACAAGTGGGCTGAGTCATGTCGGTAGTTGTCGACTACGTGGTTGGGGTCCGCGAGATGATAATAATCGATGGCTAGAGAACCTAAATAAGATGGCTCAAAACCGTTTGCAATGGCGCAGTGCATTCATTCTTTTTGTGCTCTTGAATTCTAATCTTCTGAATTCCTCATCACCTTTATCTTTCTCCTTTTAAGTTTTTCACCGAATTATACCTCTTAAATAATATCTTCGAACTCTAAAATTTCCGATAATTGCTAATACATTTACTACATCTACTACTATAGGATTTAAATTGACAAATACATCTCTGTACTAATGTGGTATGGCAACTTGAACTGATGTACGTACTTATGAAGTTCTACGTTTCTGTTGACTGATTAGTGCAAATTATGGTAATTACTCAGTTGTTCTGAATAAAGTTACATAGAATTGTACATTAATCTAGTGTTTTTTGTTTGGAAAAATGTGTCTGTGTAATTAAGACTGAATAAGCCGACTATCGTCGTAATATTCAGAAGTCCCAGCAATGTAACTAACTTCCTGAATTTCCTATTCTGTATGTGACACTATCAGAGCTACAGTAGGAAGATGTGTAGCACTTTCTGCCTCACTTATATTCAATCTATTTTAATCTGGCCAACTGTGTTCACTGAACGTATCATCCTAACCTAGTCAGGTATTTCATAATTTCCTCTGTAGCTATCATTCTGTAACCTTGTCAATTATTTTGAATTGCTTTATTATTTGTGCTTGCCTTATTTGTCTACCGTTGTATAAAATGTAATTACTTATGTATATTGTATCCACTACATACCTTATGCAGAGGCTGTCATCCGTTATTCACTAAATAGGTTATTACTACCAGTCTAATTCAAATCTGTTTCATTTTGTCAACCAAGCTGAATATATGAATTAAACACATCTTGTTTTCAAAGTAATTATGTTGTAATAATGTGGCTCGTCTATCGAATATATGAGTAGGCCATATATTTCATTACGATCATAATAGAGTCGAAGATAAACGTTACAAATGTGTCAGTTAGTATGCTATGCTATCTAAGCTTCATGGTAAGGTTTTCTAGACTATTAATCATATCACAACATATTTCCATTATTTGCCCGTACGCACACCATGCTACTATAACCATATTGAACAAGCTAATTCCCTTGTGTTTGTTGTAACAAACTTATCCTCCTAAAAACTGGAATAATTGACTCTATTTTGCAGTAACTTTGCGCAGCCGTTACTTCAGTCATTTCAGTTCAATACAGCAACAGGTAACATCAATATATGTTGGCGGTCATAATGTTAGATGACGTTATTAACCACACAGCAACCTAGTATAGATTAGAGTAGTTACTTGTAGATTAGCTTAGTAAACAGTTTGTACTGTTTGACAAGCAGCTGAACCTCTTCGGATCATATAGACCAATAAAATTATATATATCTTTTTTGTGTCCTGAAACTTTAACCTGTTCTCTTTCTTAGTTCTCAGGCCGCGTCGTTCTCCAGTGGAAACACCTCTTTCCGGAAATCATAATTCGTATTTTTCGGAGCATCAGAGTCTGTTGGCTCGTCCATATAAATTTCCACATCGAGCTAGCACTGATTTCTCCTTGTCATATAAAGGTGGAGGACCAAACTTGCGGGTTTGTAATCTCTATTTGCAATCAGATACATACCTTTGGGATCATGTTATAAATATGCCACATATTCATGGTAACAAAGAGCTTGCAGTCAAAGAAATCAACTCCATTTTTACAGAACACGTCCAAGTTGCCCAGTTGATCTATCAAGAGGCAATTTTTCGTGATCACTTAGTAAGTTACTTAAATCAAAGTATGTTTGGATGGGCAGTTATTTACGTCGTTTTTCTCCCCAGATTCCAGCCATAAGCCAACGAACTGCGATTTGATCAGTCAGTTATAAACATTTAGAGTTAACCGGATCTGGTCTCAGGAAGTGAAGATTGGTGGATTGTGATTTTAGTGTATTACAGATTACTTCACTAGTACAATAAACCGTTATTAAAATTTCTAATGATTTTAGCCCTGTTGTGCAAATCAATCACTTCTTGTAAAAGATATGAGGTTTTGTTATTATTTAAGACTTCCTTGCCTTCTCTCAAATTCTAATCTTCTGAATTTCTCATCACTGTCACCTTCCTCTGTTTAAATTTATTTCACTGGATTACAATTGTTGAATCATTTCTTCGAACTCTAATCTTCTCCATTACCGCTAATACTTCTAATACATCTACCGCTATGGGATTTGAAGTGACAGTTGCATCTCTGTACTAATGTGGAATGGCGGCTTGAACTGATGTATCTGCGTAGGAATTTCCACTTAGTAACTCTATTATTTAAGGTTTCGTATTTAGTAGTTTTAGATGAGCGGTTTTTTACTTTCTTGTGTAATTTTTATTATTAATACGTAATACTGCGTACAGTGCAGCTTTTTATTTAATGCTATCGATTGCTCAAAACTGCTTCCTTATTGTTTAGTTTTGCAATAAGGATAGAATAGTTGAGCTACAGCAACTAGACATGGTTATCAACGTGGTTGCTCTGAGAGTGATCGACTACATGCAATTATCATGCACAAAATTAGTTTTGTCCATAACTTTTTGTGTCTGGCATTAAAGATTGAGTTATCTTTCTATTAACGATTAAAAGTGATTCTTATTATTCAATTTTCTTCGATAACTTTATACCCTTGCACTGTTTACCATCTAATATGTAGAAACCCACTTGATATTCTATCCTCTATTTTGTACTAATCACAGTTGAACTTGTAATTGCTGTTCTGGACTCCGGATTATTTTATTAGCCCCAATTACTGTCCAAACTCTTATCTATCTAGTTAAAACTGGCGTGTGAATCCTAATTTTGTACATAGTTTACAGTTCTTCGTATTATACATTTATTACAGTGCCTTCAATTTTCGGATTCTCAGCGTAAATACTAATATACAGTAGCAAAGCCAGTGTCGATACATGCTAAGGTTTGCATAATTAATGTTTCATATGCAATTTATTTTGTTTTCTGTTTATAATCAACTAAATAAGATCCATCTTTCACAGCTAATTTTTCTCCACTTCGGCAACCTTTTTTCAGTCTTCACGCTGGTTTGCTTATCGAAAATCCTAGCAATATGCGTTATGCTATTGCGAATCGTCTATGTTTCTGTAGTTATTATTCCCGTTAGTGGTAACTTGCTAAAATATTTGCATCAAATCCTATTGTTTCGTCTTACTTATTACTTAGCACTTTCGTTGTATTATGCTAAAGTAAAATGAAGTGAAATAGTGCAACTCTCACAATTTTTTTTTTGAGAACTGAATTTTGATAGTATCCATTTGTATTGTCGCAAAAGTAGTAAATATTTTAGCTGAAAATGACTAGTCTCTTTTTTGACAATGATCATTTATATATATATATAGTATTAATTTTTTCAGTATGTTTTCAAATACTCTGATTTAGCATCATTCCATTTAATATAATTCCCCTTTTTCAGGGCCGTTTAGAATTCCGAGGTGTTGGGTTTCGCATTGACCGTGTCCTTATCAATGTAACAGAACATGACTGTCGTCATCGTCCACGGAGACCTACAAATTTTCGAAATTGGAATAATTCATATCTCTCGCCTGCTGCCCTACCTCAGAAAACAACTTTGGATCATCTAACTGTACATCAGTCAAATAACAGAGACCATTCGGGTTTTAGCGGTGCATATACTGATGAGAATCCTTTCTGTGCACCCAATATTGATATTACTAATTATCTTAATCTGCATTCATACAACAACTATGACGATTTCTGCTTGGCTTATATTTTTACATATAGAGACTTTTCAGGCGGGACTCTTGGTTTGGCATGGGTTGCTGACGTGCGCGGGTCAGGTGGTATCTGTGAAAAACATAAGCAGATGAAAGAAGGCGATCAATATGTTTATAAAAGTTTAAATACCGGAATCGTAACTCTATTAAATCATAACTCAAAGGTAATACAATACATCACTAACTGAAGACCTTATTTATATGAATTTCAAATAATTGGAATATTGTTTCATTATTTTTTTGTTTTTTATCTCAGGTGGCCCCAAAAGTATCGCAGCTAACATTTGCTCATGAAGTGGGGCATAATTTTGGTGCTAAACATGATGATGATCATCAAAACGAATCATATGGGTGCTTGCCGTCTGTCGATGATGTCCGAGGTAATTATATTATGTTCGCTAGTGCAACGAGTGGTGATAAAGAAAATAACAACAAATTTTCCAAATGTTCACTTGATTCCATCGCCAAACTATTGGATCATGTTTTACAGGTATGTATTATTTTTTAGCGTGATAGGGAGTGAAGTAGTTGGGAGGGTCGACCGCTTCACTCATCAGTGCTGACGGCCTGGTGTGTGACGAAATCTTAGGACGGATACAGAAGGTTCAACTAGCGTTTACTAACTTTTTGTCGTAGGTGAGATATCCGTCTGCCAACCAAAGGACAGGTTTACTGCGCAGCAGTTCGTTCCATCCTACTTTTTGGCTGTGAAACGTGAAGTAAGAGTAGAAGATAATCGTAGGTTACTGGTTTCCGATCATCGGTGTCTTCGAAGAATTGCTCGTATATCCTGGGACAATAGGGCAAGCAGTGCAGTCTTCAAAAGAAGGGTACTAGGTAAGGATAGCAGATCAGTTGATGAAGTAATGAGACTTCATCAGTTAAAGTGGTTGGGACATGCGTTGCGTATGCCCAACCACCGACTGTCTCGTCGAGCTATGGTCTGCGACATAGGAATAGGTTGGAAGAAAATAAGGGGCGACCAGAACAAATCATGGCATAAATCCATGAAGTGACTGACAAGTGGGCTGAGTCATGTCGGTAGTTGTCGACTACGTGGTTGGGGTCCGCGAGATGATAATAATCGATGGCTAGAGAACCTAAATAAGATGGCTCAAAACCGTTTGCAATGGCGCAGTGCATTCATTCTTTTTGTGCTCTTGAATTCTAATCTTCTGAATTCCTCATCACCTTTATCTTTCTCCTTTTAAGTTTTTCACCGAATTATACCTCTTAAATAATATCTTCGAACTCTAAAATTTCCGATAATTGCTAATACATTTACTACATCTACTACTATAGGATTTAAATTGACAAATACATCTCTGTACTAATGTGGTATGGCAACTTGAACTGATGTACGTACTTACGAAGTTCTACGTTGTTTCTGATTGACAAATATATTTAGCGTGCGTATTACTGTAAAATATCACAGTGAAGAAGTGTGACTATCTTAATAGCTTGACGAATCTATAGAACTAAATGTGTTGGTAATGGTTGGGCACATGTAATTTATGTCCTAATCACCTTGGTCAGTGAGGATTCATGGCTTAATCACACTAGTTTGTCATATTTGCGTATTATATTAGGCCTTATTCGTGGCAGTACTTACTCAGTTGTCTTGAAATACACTAGCAATCCTTGAAAAACGCCTAAGATCAAAAACCTTTAGCGTTATGTGTTTACATCTTCCTAAACCACGTTTCACAGCTATGGATGAATATAGAAGGAACGTTGCTTGCAGACGGATATATTGTGTACGTCACCGGTGACAAAAGTTATCAAAATACCAACTGAGCTTTTTGGATTTGATCACCCAAGTCTGATGAATCATCCAAAACATGCAATACTGTCACTCATTTTCGTCTATATTCAGTTTATCCCAATTATTTTCTGTTTGCGCATGTTATGGTTTCTAATCTGTACAGTTCTGTTAATTTTTCCTTTTTTTCGAGTGAGAAAGAATTTGATACCTTGTCACCAGGCTTTAGTAAACCGTTTTACTTTTCTACTCAAATGTGTAGTTCATTGCAGTCATGATAAACTTTTGTAAATTTTAGTGGTGGGATTGTTCGGTAACTGTTAAATTTAAATGTCATATATAAGTACAGTTTTAATCTCTTGCATAGTTCACATGTTATAAAAATTGACTGAGAACCACTCATCTTTGGTGGTGGTCAGCGCAAGTTAGTGGATTGTAATGTCGAAAGCTCACAACAAACGTATCATTGAACGCCTTAGTTTTTGAGTTTCTACTATCTGTAAGTTAACAGTTATACTCCTGTGGCTTCTTGTTATGACCAAACGCAGACTGATACAGCTCGATGGAAAAAAAAATATGACCCCAAGTGAAGACTTTATTATCTACCAAAAAGTAGGGCAATTACAGTCCTAATCATTGACCAAAGCTGCATCAAAATATATTGAGCTATATCATTTTCTTATCTGATGCGGCTGCATCAAGCTAAAGAGTCGCCAAGAGGATGAAACGCGCATCCTGGATTCCAATGCTAGCTATATTCTATCTATCCTATATAAAGCTTTGTCATAGGATGTCAACTAAGACTGATCGAATTTCTATCAAAATGTGAACAACGGGATAATCAAAACCATTTCAGGTTGGATTAACCCTAGCATGCTTTTAAATTATATACATAATTTTTCAGGATGGAACGAATTGTTTTGTAACTTCTGATGGTCCGTTTTGTGGTAATCAGTTGACTGAAGAAGGTGAAGAATGTGATTGTGGTTTCACCAGATCGAATTGTCATGATAAATGCTGCCATCCAAAAGATTCGGCTAATCCGTGCAAGCTAGTTAACTCTGTTCTCATAGATCATGTCCAACATACTGTAAGTTTCATGTTTTATACGCTGTCTTTTTTATGAAATCGACATTAGTTAATTTCACTAGAGAATTACAATAAGTAAAATTGCTTTCCACTACCCTGCCCACTACTAGAGATAGGAGGTCAAGCTCCAGAAAATTTATTGATAGACACCCAAGAAAACTATTAAGTATTCAAATGATTTCATTTATATACAGATTTAATCACAGTGATACTTAGTCTAAAAATTTGTCCTACCGTACGAATTTCGTACAGAATCCATTGAGTATACTGAATAAATGAATAATCCGGATGGCAAAATGAAGTCACGACAAATACCACAGTAGTAGAAATAGTAGCAGTATCAGTGGTGGTAGAAAGCACGAAGCATTGATGATATGATTCGGGAAGAGTTAGTGAGTTCAAGGAATAAAAAGTATCAGACAAATTTAAAACTTTTGTAATGTACATTCTTTCAATTCATCGTCTTTAGTGAGAATACCATGACACTTACTCAGTCACTTTGGATATCCGAAGAAAACATTCAGTAATAACAAAAAACCCACATCCACTACCTTCCGTGACTTTCTATAACAGCCGTTATATCCTTATTCAAATAATCAAGTTAAACATTTTGTTGGTACATTCAGAAACGTTTCATACAAATCTCATTGGAAGGGGACCATCAAGCAGTTTCTATTTGCAAAACAAGAGGATTATAAGCTGTCTTCCTCCACGTCTTGTAGTCTTAAAGACACTAAACACCATAAACATGGATCCGACATTCTTCCCTTCAGCAGTAACTTCAAGGTAACACTCCGCTGCATATCCACTGCATACTACCTGTAAGCCACGTTGAGAGTAGTAAACACCACACTGATTGATGAGAGAAAGAAAAAATAACATCCAATTTGTTCTATCATGACAGTTTGGTTATAATATGAAGACTGTTTAGTGTCAGAAATAAAAAAGTCACAATAAACTCGTCCAGTGGAAATCTGGAGCTCCATTTGTTAGGTTCAAAACTTTCACATTAGTCTATTATGTTACAATTGTACTTGAATTTCAATGTTAGATTACTGAAATAAATACTGTCTGTACGTTAATGGACTATTTTTCAGGTTAAATGTTCACCTACAGCTGGCGTTTGTTGCACAGAAAATTGTCAATATCGCCCAGAAAATTATACGTGTCGCCCAGCCTCTGAATGCTATCGATCATCAAATTGCAGCGGAAAATTAGCTAAATGTCCACCTGTCGATATTTTACCAGATGGTACTCTTTGTCAGGTAGGCAACTATTATCCTACGACTGCAGTGACACCCAGATTTTGACTTCGTATTTTTTTCTACCAATATGTGTATACTTAACGATTTATTCGGTCAGAAACAATTTTTTACTCTATTTAAGTTACGCTACACACTAAACTCCTTCATGACGATTGTATAATTTACAGTGGTGTTCGCAAGTGTTGAAAATATCTTCAAAAACACCTGTTACGACTGTCGAACACAATTCGTTAAACTTTATTCGAGTTGCGAGCTTGGGTGCTATAAAAAGTATATGATAAGCTATCACTTCCCGGTTGTTCATGTCGTGAGGTGTTTCTTCGCGAGGTGCCTGAAAAAGGATCCAGTTTAGTGGTGGTCATGAAAATCGAGAAGCGTGTCCAGAGAGCCTAAAAAACAAATGTTTAAGGCTTGAGATCATACACACTTTTCTCGTGATTAGTTTTTGATGCATTCGCTCCATACGTTTTGAGCCTTACCGCCGTCACCGGGAAAACTCTGCTGATGATGCAGTTTCCCCATGAGAAGCGCCTTACTACCACTGTATCCTATTACAGTTGATAATAGGATTTTACCCTTGAATGTTCGGCGTCCCATACATTAACCTATCATCGTAGAACTTCAAAAACGGGCGTTTTAGCCAATGTATCTCGGTCGAGTCGTCACAATATCCAATCCCGATCACCATTCGTAATGTGAGCTACGGTCTGAATAAATTATCTATGGTTCACCTTGAACATTATTTCTGTAATAAAGCTTACAGAGTTTACCACCTAATTATTCATTTTTTCCTTAAAAAATTCATCAACTTATCATGAGGTTGAATGGATCATATGACCTGCAAATTCTTCACTCTAACTCTGTTCTAATTTAGTTTCCGGTTTCTCTGTCGTTGTTTTTAGGATAGTACTCGTGTTTGTAAACAGGGTCAATGTATCGGTTCAATATGTGAGCGTATTCCTGGTTGGCATGAATGTTCTCTGACTCGCGATATAAAACTCACACCCGAGCTAATGTGCTTCGTCGCATGTAAGCAGAATATTACTGGTGCACCGTGTATTAGTACTTTTCAGTTAGAAACGGTAAGTTTGTCTTATGCTTTGTATTTGGATTATAATATAGTCAGTAAGCAACAACGTACAACTACGTACGTACTTGTATTTGATAATCATATCATTCAGAGAATAATCACTTATTGTTATTCAGACCAATGTATATTGCATTGTTTAGCAGAAGTATAGTTTTTACTTGTTTTTTTAGAACTACAACTCTGTTCGTCAACACTACTGTCTGTTTATTTTATCCCTTTTGGAAACTAAATTGGTGTAGTGATCATGTTTGTAGAATGAACCAATGGTCATGTATTAAAATAAACTTATTTTTATTTCTTCAAGCTTGAATTAATTCATCTAGGTCCACTGGTACATGACTTCTCATCTCTTGAATCACATTCGAAGACGAGGTTCCACTAATATTGCCTGACAGTAATGGAGATGAATAGTATCATGTGTTTATGACACAATCCACGATATATATTAAACCTATTTGTACTGCTTTCATACGTTATCGTAACCAATAGTAAAAAATCTTAAAGGCATGTATTTCGAAATTGGTTATGGTTGCATTTATTCTTTGTTTTTCTTTAAACGGTATGGGAACTTGAGCTAATGCACGTACGTACGTACGAAGTTCTACGTTGTGAATAGTCATTAAGTCGTTTGTAATCTTTATTATCTCTCGACCATAGCTGCTACCTTGACATGGTGATCGGGCTTACCTATCGTGATGGCCCAATCGAACTATATTGGCTGGAACATATGTTCCTTTAGATCCTGACATTCCAGGCAGGTCGATTGGAGAACGGTGAGATTAAAAGCAGCAACTTAAGGTCTGAGGATGAAGTTGTACTGCTGACAGTCAACGAGTGTGACAGCAGTAAGGTGTTTCCCTCGGACAACCAGCATCTGCAGCTATGCTTCCTTCTCACAAGGAAGGAGAGGGTTAGAGAAGGTCGACCTTAGAAATTTCACACCTCACCTCACCTCACGGTTTTTCGTCTCCGGTGGTGAGGCCTTTTGAAGAGTGAAGCTAACACTTTACAAATTTCACATATAATGGCCATGCGTGACCGTCCACAAGCAGTTAACAGTTTGGCTTTGCGGTCACTCTTCCGATTTTCTTTTCAGGTTCCTCAAGAATCTTTATTATCTATTATCACTTTGTTGTGATAGGTAGTGAAGTAATCGAGCGTGTTGAAAACTTCACTTATCTGGGCAGTCTCATCATTGCTGATGATCTGGTGACTGACGAAATCTCAGCACGGATACAAAAGGCTCCACTGGCTTTTGCCAACTTGCGTCACTTATGGCCTAGACGAGATATCCGTTTGCTAACCAAAGGACGAGTGTGCTGCTCAGTAGTTCACTCCGTTCTCCTATATGGATGCGAAACGCGGCGTTAAGAGTAGAAGGTTACTAGTATTCGATCAAGCCTTAACTCGTTCTAGACTACATGTTGGAGCATTTAATGTACGGACATTGTGTCAAATAGGACAACAGGCATCATTAGTTAGGACATTATAATCTCGTGCCATTGATGTGTGCTGCGTCTCGGAAACGCGCCTACAGGATTCTAGTAAAATTTTCAATCTGATTTCACCTTGTCAAAATAAAGAAGCAGCTCGATTTACTCTTCGAGTTTCTGGAAGCCCAGATGCTGCTTCCCGGGGTCTTGCTGGCGTAGGCATAGCATTAAGTCGTAGAGCTGAACAATCTCTCGTTGACTGGATCCCAGTAGATAGTCGTTTGTGCGCTGTCCGACTAAACGGGACAGTAAGGACTCGTAAGTATAGGGACACTCGCCGTTGCCTCTTCGTCATATCTGCCTATTCCCTCACCGACTTCAGTTCAGACGAGGTTAAAGATGAGTTTTATAGAAAGCTTTCGGACTTCCTCTAGAAAGCTAGGCGCTCTGATATAATAATGATGGCTGGTGACTTTAATGCTCAAGTAGGTAGACTGAGTGAGCAGGAAAGACACCTAGGTGGATGTTATTGTGTCGCGGCTCAGAGAACAGACAATGGCGACCGTCTGTTGCAAGTATGCTCAGACAACCGCCTATTCTTAGCAAACACTAACTTTAGGCATAAGGAAAAGCATCTGTTGACCTGGCGACCTCCAAAGTCGTCTCAACGTTGGACCCATTTACGTCACATTGCCATCAGCCACCGATGGAGGGGTTCGATTGAGGACTGTCGCTCGTTGTGGGGCACCTGTTTAGATTCAGGTCATGCCCTAGAGCGAGCGCGTATTTGTTTGCCACTTACTGGACGTAGGAAAGACACCGTAAGGAAGCCTCTTAGGGTTTTACTTAATGATAATGAGGCTAAGAGTATATTCCAGGAACAACTAGAAAGAGAGTTAGGCGATCATTTAAGCGATTCTCATCTGGAGGCAGGTTGGAATGATATCGAGAAGGCTGTGGAAACAGCAGTGATATCTGCTAGTATGTTTGAACATAAGGCAAGAATGAAGCGGTGGATCTCAGTAGCATCCACCGATCTGATGGATGCCCGAAAACTCATCCCACCTGGCTCTGAATAGGACGAAGAGCGAAGTCAGCTTAGGCGCAGACTCATAAAAAGCCTACGTAACGACCGCGAACAGCGGTGGGTGGCAAAAGCAAAAGCGATGGAAAAGGCAGCGGCGATAGGCAACAGTAGACAACTTTTCCAACTTATCAAGGAAACTGGTATTAGGAACCCAAGTGTAAGTGAGACTATCTCGGAAAGGGATGGGACTATTATCCATTCTCAATGCAGGAGACTGGACCGATGGGCAGAACACTTTAGGGATCAGTTCAACTGGCCTCGAGCCACTCTTCGGTTACCCACGATCTCCAGTCATCCTGAATGGCAAATCGGCGTAAGTCTCCATAGTCCTAATGAAGTTGAGAAAGCGTTAGGAAATCTGAAGCGAGGGCGAACTGCAGGTCCTGATAGGCTTACCCCTGAGATATTTAAGGATGGTGTTCCAGTTTTAGCTGCTAGGTTGACTGAGATCTTAGGTAGAATCTGGGAACTGGACGTGATCCATTCCGACTGGTCTCAATCACTGATTATCCCAATCTCTAAGAAAGGACAGAAGTTCTTCTGTGACAATCACAGAAGGAAATAAGTCTAACTAATATAGTATCTAAAATATTGGCCTCAATAATACTTCGACGCTTAACGAAAGCTCGTGAAGAGCAGACTCGAGAAAACCAGTCTGGTTTTCGACCTGGACGTGGTGTATAGACCACATTTTCACACTACGACAGGTCCTGGAACACAGACACACATTTAGGCGTCCTACAATAGTTGTTCCCTGGACAAAAAGCGGCATTTGACTCAGTGGATCGTGAGGTTCTGTGACAGTGTCTGTCATTGAAAGGTGTATCGAAGAAGTACATTACCCTTATACAAGCTCTCTACTCGAACACCACTGGTCGAGTGAGAGCTTATGGCGAACTGTCACCGGAATTCTCTACATCAGTGGTGTCCGCCAGGGATGTCCACTTCTCCATTCTTGTTTAGTTTTATCATACACATGCTCCTAGAAATAAGCTTATCCTCGTCTGAATTTTCTGGAGTAGACCTTTTACCAGGTGGCTCGCTTATTCACTTAGAATATGCCGATGACATCGTCCTACTTGGTGAAGACGCTGACAAAATGCAGAGTCTTCTGACTACCCTAAGCAACAATGCAAGCATGTTCGGGATGCGGTTTTCCCCCCTCGAAATGCAAAATGTTGCTTCAAGATTGGGTTTGATCGGCACCTGAACGAGTGATAGGGAGTGAGGTAGTCGAGCGTTTTGACCGCTTTACTTATCTTGGGAGCCTCATCAGCGCTGATGACCTGGTCATTGACGGAATCTCAGCACGGATACAGAAGGCTCGATTGGCTTTTGCCAGCCTGCATCACTTATGGTGAAGGCGAGATATCCGTTTGTTGACTAAAGGACGAGTGTACTGCTCAGTAGTTCACTGCGTCTTACTCTATGGCTGTGAAACATGGCCAATGAGAGTAGAAGATACTCGTCGGTTATTGGTTTTCGATCATAGGTGTCTTCGAAGAATCGCTCGTATATCTTGGGACAACCGAGTGAGCAACGCTGTTATTAGGAAACGGGTGCTAGGTAAGAATGGCAAGATCCAATAGATGAAGTAATGAAACTTCATCAGTTGAGGTGGTTGGGACATGTGTTACTTATGCCTAACCACCGACTGCCTCGACGAGCTATGTTTTGTGATGTAGGAATAGGTTGGAAGAAAGCTAGGGGCGTCCAGACCAAAACATGGCAGAAATCCATGAAGTCATTGACAAGTGGACTGAGTCATGTCGGTAGATGTAGGCTACCTGGTTGGGGTCTGCGAGACGAAAGTCACCAACGGTTAGAGTCCTTGAACGACATGGCTCAAAATCGTTTTCAATGACGCAAGTGCATCCATTCTTTTTGCCCTCTCAAATCCTAATCTTCTGGATTCGTCAGCACCTCTACCTTTGTCTTTCTAACCTTATCTCACTGAGTTATACTTCTTGAATAATATCTTAAACCCTGGTCTTCTTCATTACCATTAATACCTCTACTATCTTTATCACTATGGGATTTGATTTGACATTTGCGTCTCTGTGCTAATAATGTGGTATGGCAACCTGAACTTATCTACATACGTACGAAGTTCTACGTTGCAACTGATTAACTGACTGACTAATTATCACTTTGGTTGAACATTTTGATTTTAACTAGCCCTAATTTGGTTGGTTATTGATTCCGTGTTCTAAAATCAAATACGACCTTCATTACAAAATCCCACCAGTCACTTTAACTACATTTCTTATAGCTTACATCATAGACTGACCTTAGGTTAGTCAACCACTAACAATCAGAAAGCAGTGGACAGCTGTTTCTTGATTGTTAATGGTTGTCTAACTTAAAGTCGGTCTATTATGTAGAACTATTGAAGTCTAACGATCTCCATAACCTCTGCTCTACTTTTATTTTTTCATACTCAGTTTTCCATAATCACTAACAATATTGTTTCAGCTTCTTTTTCAAATTGTATATTTCTTCTGATTATGGTCACAAGTGACTATTTTTATTGTGAAAGTTTCACTCATTTTATTAGACAGTCTACAATTATTTCCCTTCTATTTCACAATTTTATTCCATTGCACGTTATATATCTATGGCGTTATCGATCCTGTTAACTTTGGGTTTTTATGTTGTACGGAGATGAAATAACATTGTAAAATTAAATATTATATTCACTATTGTATATTCAGTGTTTCTAGAATTTGTGTTATGAACAATGTATAGTAATTGCTTTCTTGTTCAGCATTTACAAAATTGTTTCTGCTGAACCTGTATGAAAGCTACATTAATTTATTTGCCTTCGAGGTGATCATGTTTTTGAGTTAAGTCATGCTCATGCGATAAGGCAAATACATGCCACTTAAAATTCCCTCATACCCTAAACTTAATAAAAAAAATCAGTCACTAAATCAATGTACATGTATTTTTGAGTGTCTTTTTTGCAATATATCAAACTTTTCTAACATCAACTCGATGTTAGAAAGAATTTCGGACATAGTTTCCCCTTGTATGCACACGAAAAATGTCGCAAAGCAAGGGTCCCTAAAATCTCGTAAGTCTCCATCATAAGTGTAAACCATTTGCTGTCCGTCGCGTAACTCAGATAATCAATGCCGGTCAGTTACAACGTAGAACTTCGCACGTACGTACATCAGTTCAATTTGCTATACGACATTAGCACTGAGACGATGCAGGCTAATCCTGAAGCAACATTTTGCATTTCGCCGGGGATAATCGCATCACCAACATGCTTTCATTGTTGCTTTGGTAGTCAGAAGACTGTATTTTGTCAGCGTCTTCACCAAATCGAACTATGTCATCGGCGTATTCTCGGTCAACAAGCGAGTCTCCTCGTAGAAGATCCACTCCTGAAAATTCAGACGAAAATAATGTTAGCTCTAAAGGCATGTGAATGGCAATGTTAAACAAGGATGGTGAAAGCGGACATCCCTGTCGGACATCACTTGAAGTACAGAATTCCTATGACAGTTCGTCATAAGCTGTAACTCGACCTGTGGTGTTCGAGTAGAGAGCTTATATAAGGTAATGTACTTCTGGTACAGAAACACTGCCGCAGAACCTCACGATCCACAGAGTCAGATGCTGCTTTGAGGTCCAGGAAGACAACAATAATCGGACGCTTAAATGTGTTTCTGTGTTCCAGGACTGTTCATAGTGTTAATGTGTGGTCTATACATCCACGTCCAGGTGCTAAACCAGCTTGGTTTTCTCGAGTCTGCTATAGTTAGGCGTACAAGAATTATCGAGTGTAACAATCAAGACGCCATATTAGTTAAATTCCTCTATGATTGTCACAAGAGGATTTTGGTCCTTTTTTATAAATTGAAACAATAAGGGATTGAGATCGGGTGGATGGGGTTGCGTCCAGTTCACAAATTCTACTTAAGATCTCGGTCAATCTAACTGCTAAAATTGGACCATCATCCTTAAAATCTCAGGGGTCAGTCTACCACGGCCCGCTTCAGAATATGACTTTCTCAACTTCATAAAGACTCGGAGGACTTACGTCGATTTGCCATTCAGGATGACTGGAGATCGTGGGTAACCGAAGTATGGCTGAAGACCAATTGAACTGATTCCTAAAATGCTTTGCCCATCGATCCAATCTCTTGAATTTTGAATGAATAATAAGACCATCCGAAATAGTTCCGCTTACAGTCTGATTCCTAATATTGGTTTCCCTGATAAGTCTGAATATTTATGTACTGTTGCCTGTTACCGCTGCCTTTTCCATCTCTCTCGCTTTCGCTACTCACCAATGTTCGCGCTCATTGTGTAGGCTTTTTATCAACCTGAGCCTAAGCGGACTCCGCTCCTCATCGTACTCAAAGCTAGACGGAATGATTTTTCGAGCATCCATCAGTTCAGTAGATGGTACCAAGATCCACCGTTTCTCTCTCACTTAATGATTTATCTTGCTAGCAGATATCACTGCTGTTTCCACAGCTTTTCGGATATCATTTTAAGCTGCTTCAGGGTGGAAATCACGTACATCGTTGCTAACTTTTTCTAATTTTTCCTGAAATATATTCTTAGCTTTGCTATCATTAAGTAGAACACTAAGAGATTTCCTTGCGGTGTCTTTCCTACGTCTAGTCAGTCTCAAGCAAATACGCGCTCGCACTAGGGCATGATCTGAATCTAAACGTGTGCCCCAGAACGAGCGACAGTCTTCTATCGAACCCCTCTACCGATGGCTGATAGAGTATATATAATTGAGTATATATAATTGTCACATAAACTTAACTGAGTTGAACCATGAACGTAAAACGTGTGTGAAATGATGGGTTATCATTTTATTGTCATCGTTATCCATTAGATATAAAAAGCAAATAGTCCATAGCCAAATCTGAATTCAGCCAAACTTTTGTTTGTGATCGCATGGTTAGTAAAATCATACAGTGTTCATGGTTTGTGACTTTATCCGACTGTTATTGACTTACTTTCCGGATTCGAAATTCGAGATCTCGTACTCGTTTCGGTCAAACCATTGAGCTTTATGTATTCAGTTATGTTATGTGTATTCGTCTGTTTACACTTGAATAATAATCTCTCCATTCTCAATAAAAAACGGCTTAAAATTTAAATAATGATGTATATTTTTTCTTCCCTGTCTCAGTTTGGGCTCTCGGTTAGTATCCCAGTCCAGTAATTTATGTGATGCACAGAGATTAAGGTTCTCATTTGTAACAATAATTTCGTGTCTAAGTAAGAAAAAAAGTTTTAACACCAATTGTAACAATCAACACTAACAAAGTGTTTGTCATTTTTATACTTCAAGGTAGTTTTGTGTTTTCGACATAAAATAACAATTCATAATAAAACTGATTCAAATGCTGACTATCACAATTACATAGTTTTTTCTTCTAACTGTGGCATTAAATAGGTTCTATCTTTTTAGTAATGGTTTAGTCATGCATTTAGTTCTAGTGGATGGTCTAACTTTTCAGGAGTTAAACTTTTCCCGCGAGATCCATTGGTCGACGTAGAGTATACTGACGACTTAGTTCTGTTTAGTAAAGATGCTGACAAAATGTAGAGTTTTCTGATCGCCTTAAGCAACAATGCAAGCATATTCGAGATGCGATTCTCCCTATCGAAATCCAAAATGTTGTTTCAGCATTGTCTTGCGTCGGCACCTGCACTAGTGATAGGGAGTGAAGTAGGTGAGCGTGTTGATTGCTACATATATCTTGGGAGTATCACCAGTGCTCATCGTCTGGTACGACGAAATCTCAGTATGGATACAGAAAGCTCCATGAAGTCATTGACAACTGGACTGAACCATGTTAGTAGGTGGACTATCTGGTTGGGGTCCGCGAAACAACCGTAACCGACGGTCGGAGACTTTAAATGACATGGGTTAAAATCGTTTTCAATGGCGCAGGTGTATCCATTCTTTGTGTTCTCTCAAATTCTAATCTTCTGAATTCCTCATGACTGGTTTTTCTGTTTTTAAATTCTTTTTACTGGGATATACTTCTCGTGTTATGACTTCGAACCCCAATCTCTTATTACCGCTCATACTGCTACAACCTCTTCTACTATGTGATTCGAATTAATAGTTTGGACCTCTCTCTGCTCGTGTGGAACGGTAGTTCGAGTTGATGTACGTACATACCAAGTTCTACATTGTTGCTGACTGACTGTAATGAATTATATAACAGTTTGTTCCTACTACAAGCTTAGTTCACGTTTAAGTGGGAATTATTCCAAATCTATCGTGCATCTAGGTTTTGGCAGTCGAAAAGTGTAATACAGTGGATCAGTGCCTTATTTCTCGTAGTCACGAATCAGTTTGAAAGAGAAGTAATAAGACAATAATGTTTCGTATAGAAATTTTCAGAGGATAACATTCATAGGCTTGAGCATGAAAATATCTGTTGTTCTGTATTGCTGGAATAATATTAATTTTGAAGCTTTTATATATCGGATAACTTGTGTTCTCCTACCGTGTCTTTGTCTAATGCATACTTTTCCAAGTTACATTTCATCAAAATTTCTTTACCACACTGTTTAGTTGTTACGGGTTTCCTTTTTTTCCCTCTAGTTCGGATAATTTATTATGATTTATACGGTCTGTTGACTTAGTTATTACATACTGGTTTTTTAATGTTATACTTAGGAACCAGATGTAAGGGCGAAATATCCTCAGTTGGTTTCTGAACTTTTGCGTAATGGACGTGGCATTAAATTGCCTCCTGGAGCTCCCTGTGATAACTATCGTGGTTACTGTGATGCTTTCATGCGTTGTATTTTAGTCGATACAGAAGGACCACTTTCTCGATTAAGAAACTTGGTGTTCAGTCCACAAATGTTTCAGAAAATTAGAACATGGATGACGGTAAGTATATTATTTATGTGAATATAAGTTTACTATATTTCTGATTTAGTACTTATTTTCGAAATTTTTTTTAAGAAATTGGTTAATTTCTTTGTTTATTCCACCTCTTTTCTAGATTCATTGGTGGGCGGTTATGCTTATTTCCTTAGCCATTATTATGAGTGCAGTTATTTTCGTCAAAATGTGTGCCTATAATACTCCACCTGCTCGTCTACATAGTCTGGATCGTACTAATCCAAACCTGACTCCTTTTTTAACTTCTAGCCATATCCCTCCTGGTTCTGTCAATCAACCTGTTATTTGGACTGTTTCAAGTCATCCTGGAAGGTGGGTTGGTTCATCTACTCCACCAACTGCTAGCCGTCGCTCACACTCTCGGTGGGGGCGGTCACGTAAATCTAAAGATATCAAAGGTGTTATTCGTTATCCGCTAACTTCTGAGCAACTTTATATTACACCAAATAGGGTACCTATAGATCCACTTGACTTTCCTCCATCAAATGCACGTCAAACACCTTTACCAGTGTTACACCCGAATCCAGAAGTAAGAAGACTTGTAGTAAATTCTCCTTTGTCTGTTGTCGATCTGCCTTTGCAACCTATTCCATGTGATAGTAGAAATCCTAATGATATTCAACCATTTGATGCCAACTCAAGCAATTCAAATATTGAATTTCTACAACAGAATAATTTCTATCAAAGGTTAGTGTATAATTTTTGTTAGATATCGTACTATTTCCTTATGAAACTTTGAGTATTCACATTAATTATAAATTTCATATTCTGTTTTCTCACATCATTTATATAACAGCCATATAAATATTTGAGAAAATGTCTTTTTCGTACCATTCATATTGAAATATTAATAACATTCTATTGAATACAATTCCCTAAAATTTTAAGAATCATAATTACATCTATCGTAAGTTCATGATTAAATTAGTTGTCTCCAAGCTTTTTTAAAACTAAAAGATTCACTGATTCAGTGAATTATTCTAAAATTTAATGCACAACTTAATGTTTTTATGTAATAAATTGGGACAGATCAATCGAAGAAATGGAAAAGAATGCAACATCTAGTATAGGTTAGCACTGTTGTTAGTGTTGCTATTAAGCTTCTAACTTTATTAGTAAGAAAATAATAGCTATAAACAAGGATTAAAATAAAAGTACTTAAAATATAATATTTGCAATAATACTGATTTTAGTAGAAACAGATATATTAATCGAGTGTCTACAGAGTAGAGAAAAAACAATTAAACGTTATTTAATATGCGACTGTGTAAAATACCTGACTAATAAAATTTCAAAATATAGAGTCAATATACTAAAAGTTTAAATTGTTAAAAAGAAAAACGCAATAGAACGACAGGTAGGATTAAAACAGTGCATCATGACTCGAAATGGCAAGAAATCCGAATCGATGAAAACACAATAAGAATTTAGGATAAATTTGTGTCAACTGTACACTGGATTTTACAATTTTTCACTAGATATTGATAAACGAAAGTAATTAGTTATTTAATTTTTGTATATTTTACAAAGCATTTACAGAACAGCTGAATATTAGTGTTTTGGTATAGTTTTCAGTGTGATTGTTTATTCAACTTATTAGTTATAATGGTATCTTCAATTGTTCAAAAATAACTCTTTCAAATTTAAAGATGTGCTACTAAGTTTTGTCTCAATTGCATATTTATTCAAATTCATGATTTTGTATATTTTGTGCATATGGTTCACTTATAATTACGTGGGTCGTGAATCCAGATCATAAAAGGAGTTTCCAACCTCTGCTATTATCTTTTGAATTTGCCTAGTGAAGTTTTGAAAGTAGAGTTATTTCATGGTTAATCGAAATTGATCATTTTCGAAATAAGAGGCATTACGATTTCAATGTATGTAAATTGTTCTAGTCAAGTGGTCATGTTAGATTTCCACCGACCAATATCATGAATTTAAGGCACATCAGGCAATGCTTCTGTGTTATTGGGTCATTGATATCCTGAGATTGATAGTTAATTATGGTAATCACATCTATTTTCATATTATTATTGTTTACTTATCTACCTGATTGCCCTAACCGTACTAGGTGAAGCGCCATTTGATCATATTTTGATGCCTGAAAATTGAAGACCTTAACCATTGCGCTGGAATCCGATTTTTATTTTCTGGAATGATGTCTATTGTATTTTGTTTTCAGAGTCCCGAAATCACAAAGATCCAGTTCTAGGCCAAACAGTGTGTTCATCCCTTCAACTGTAGAAGGATCAATTTACAGTAAAGTAAGGAAACCCAAAATTCCATCTAAACTAAGCAATGACAAACGCAAGAAGAAGATTCTACCAGTTCCCGAATATACAGTTGATAATCATGTTCCTGTCCCTGGAATTTCAACTCAAATTGATCATCTAAATGAAGAAGAGGAGATAGCACTTCATCAACCAGATATTGGCGCTTCTGGATCTCGAAATCCTCCTGATGATTCTCCTAGCAGTTCACCACCATCTTACGATGATCTGTAAGTTGACCATTTTAATATTTATGTATTTTTGACATCAGTTTCCTCTCACAATATTTTGGCTTTCAAAATAATATTTACTTTAAATGTCCGTTTACTAATAATATCAGAGGTTAAGTGAAATCATTTTGAAAATTCCATATAAATGGATTTCTCACTCTTGTTGTTTAGCCGACGCTAAACCCTTTCATGCTTGCCGGTGCTTTTGCTAGTCAGTCATTCGGTCATAATGAACTTAGAGCTTGGCATAACTGAATTCAACTTTAATTCTCTTGTAACCGCAGAATGGGTTATTTTAGTTATTTCCACTTCCTATAAAATGTATATAAATATTCATAGATAGAATTTATTGCAAAACTTGGTCCCAAATCGATTTACGATCAACTATAGCTATCTTAATGGTTACTTGTAATTTTATTAAAATTGGTCATTATTGTAGTTTTGCATAAACCAACATGGCATTTAGTACGTGGTATCAGTTTATGTAACTTGAAACGGGCATACATTTATTGAAATTTGTATGTATTTCAATCTTTGTTAACAGGAAATATTAAAAAAGATCATTTCAAAATTTTAGAGAAACTTTCGATTCACACTTGTTTCTTGCGATATCAGGAAGTAATAACATCTTAGAAGTTTTTAAATCTTTAAATTATTATTACTAATCATTGAATTTTGATAATTAACCCCAAACATTTTTTCGTAGAAAAAAAAGTAGGTACTTTTTCGCCTACTTATCATTTGGTTTCTAATTTCAGAATGCAAAATAAATAAATTGGACTATTTATTTGTTCAAGTCGAATCGGAGTATCATTCACTTTCATCAATTAAGTAAAATGATGGAAACGACAACGAAACGAAAAACAATAACTAGATCCCCCTATGATTCCATATTTTTCTTTAATAAAATAATGATTTAATTTTTAATACTTCTTACTACCAACTACCTTGATTACTTATTTACTTTATTGTATATCTTTCACTTGTCATTGTTTTATGTATACATTGATGGTTTTCATTTGTTTACGTGTAGAGAGAATTCTTTGTTCGTTCACTCTCTTTCCTTGTCTTGATTGATTTGCTTAAAGCATAAAATCCACAGTCATGCAACATCAATGATATGGAATAAAATCATTTAAGGTTTATGTACAAAACTACATATTTCTTTGTTTGGTTTTAATGTTTCACTGTCTTTACCACTTAATGTTTTCTCTCTCTTCTTTCTAAGTGAGAAAGTGGATCATTTCTTATTTTCTCCAATCGTTTTGCTGCTGATCCATAGTTTCAACATTTTACACAAAAGAATGAAATTGCACTTGATTTTTCCTTTTGATTCTTTTGTAAACTAATTTAGCTTGATTTCTTTCAATTATACATACAAATTACTGATATAACGTAGGTCTTTTTTTGACTCTCAATTATTGACGATCCTTACCTATCATGATTACCGTCCCTAATTTTCTTGTATGTGTGTATGTATAGACATGTACAAATCAATAAAATGATGTTCAATTCGACTTATGTTTTATTTCGCTTAGGTATTTTTTTAAATATGTAAAACAAAATGATTGATAAAAGTATACTGTCTATATCTCGTTCTTTGTAATCTACACTCCTCAGTAACTGTTAGAATCATATCTCTTCCATCCACTTTCAATATATTCATCAATAAGATTTCGGTTTAGTAAGATTATATATATATAAGTTGGTAAATGAGAAGGGTCCACCTAAGGGAGTTAAAAATTCTAATCTTAAACCAATGATGCACATAGGCTGCATGATCCTAAGTGAACAAATTTTTTGTAAACCTATTGTTGATCATCTGCTACCATGGAGTTACATTTCCTAATGGTGTTTCACTCCGTTATGGATATAACCTGTCGGTCAACTACTGGAGCAGTTGCGCATACATATTTGGGTTCCTCATTGTACCAGTAATTATGTATTTAAATCCATACATAATTTATTAAAATCATTTCTGATGATGAAGTTTATGGCTAAGGTCAGTGTGATTCCTTAAGTTTAGTGTGAATATCCCATCCCAATATATATATATATATATATATATATTATGAGAGAATTAAGCAAAAATGAAACAAGTGTGTAAAACATTATTTTTATCTCAATAACTTTATACGATTTGATTTAAGAGAAGAGTAGGACTGATATTTTCCGATTTCGCACTGTTTGTATTGGTAATATATTCTGGTATTTATACGTACCATGAAGCGTGTAATGCAATAGTTTCAATTCGTTGTATACATCTGTGTGTAGTTCATATAGACCGATTATTGTACAGTGTATATGGGTTATTATAAAATAATGGTTACTTTTTTTAAGCTTTTTAATAAAGAAAATATATATATATATATATTACTCTGCTTATGTAATGGCATGCTTGTGAATTATTATTTTTTAATTAAATAATAAATACAGTTTGTTGTTTGCTTTATTTTTGTGTATGTACAATTTGTACAAACATCTTATGATAAATGATATAGTTGTATATTTTTAGTATCATATTCTATTTTATTTTTGTTCAGAATTCAGATGTAATTTAGTCACTGAAGTTCAAGTAAACATTTACTTCCAAATTATTGAAATATTTTGTTCTTATTTTAACACATATTCACTTGTATGCGATCATGAAGTAATGTTATGTAGACTGATGCTGGGCACCGGTTGTTTGTTATAGTTTTTAGTGCGTTTGAATAATTTTTGTCAAATACATGCTTATATAAATGCTGATAACAGAATGAGCATATATATCTTTGTGTAGAAGAGTGACGAGAAAGAAGAACAAGAAAGTTATCAGAATTGAAAAAAACTCAATGGGATCGTAAATAATCTTATTTTGTTCATTTTACCCGCTAAAATTATCCTGAGGTCAAATAGTTCTAGTTGCAGATTGATGACCTCATAAATTATTGTGTTTTTCTATTGTCTCTATTTGTATAAATGCATTGTGTATTTCAGTAATTAAGAAAATATATCAGAGAATTTCTCATCTTGAATATTCTTTGAAGAATCTTTTGTAGACGAAATCATTTGTACATGACGCTGACATGATTGACAGCATTGATAACGATATATTGTAAATTTGCATAGTTCCACCCTCTTTGAACAGTGTTTAGACATGTCAACACAACCTAGAATACCGTAATAAGAAGAACAAATAAAATGAATGAAATTGACTATAATAAACAATAATTTAGACTATTCATTGGATAAATAGAATAGAATGAGTATCTAAGATATTTCATCTATGGTTTATTTTTGAAACATATATATATATATATATATATATATATATATATATATATATATACGTTTAATTAAAGCGAGAAGTCCAAGATTTGTAGAATAGAATTACGTGAACTAGTGGATTGGATGCCCATTCGGTGTTCTAGAGGTTAGGCGCTCTCACACAACACCGAGCGTCTTGAGTTCAATCACCAGTGGGAAAATGGTGGATGCGCACCGTTGAAGAGTCTCATATGAAGACTTGCAGGTTTCAATGGAGGTTCGACATTGATTGGTTCATAATGTCAATTAAAATGAACAATCTCTACAATCCCATACCATTGTGTATTAATTAGCATAAACTTTGTTGGCAATATTATTTGAAACACATATTTATTCAATGACAATTTCAATATTATAAAATGTTTGATGTTTTAAAGTGGGTATTTATAGGTCATATTCATTTTCATGCAGAAGTTCATTATTTGTATGAAGGATGTGATATTTCTTGGCCAGTCACTATCCAGCAGTATAATTACAAGATGGTGGTTCAGTCCATGCCACCACTATTCGGTTGCAAAGATGAATTTCATATTTAGTTCTGTTCGGACTATATGACTTTATAAGTATGAAAACACGAGTTTACTGCAAATCATGTTTAAACTACAGGTAACTAGTTTTGTTTTTTCAGAGGCTCATTCAAGTAGTCGAAGTACATATTGGGAAGATCTAAAAACAGGCCCAGAGTTTTAGCCAAGAAAGTTAAATCAGGGAATGCAGTTGTTAAGCTGCTGTTTATTTGGGTGTGTCATATTGATAGGAAAAAATTGGGTTGAAAAGAAGCTAATAGCCGTCAGATGCGGAATCAGTCCATGGACGACGGAATTTTGATTTAGGCCACGTGTTGAGTTGTGTACTTCGTTTTCCGTGTAATGGGATATATATTGTTAAAAGCTTTGAATAAAACAGTCAGCACTCTTGTTATTTGAGCATCCGATATAGGTTAATTCATACTATCTATCCAAGTATGAATCCTTTTATTTGTCTGATAGTTCGGGTAGATATTATTTTGTAGTTGGTTGTATTGATTCACGTTTATTTTTGCAAGTGGACTATACTAAAGAATGTTGAATTTCGGAATTAGTTGGTGGTTTCAACTTCGATTAAAGTTTATTTCTCTCCATTCGATAATTTGTGTATATAAGATTGGGTTTTGATGCTAACTACAAATGGTAATATTGCCATTAAGTAAAAAAGTGACATTATTCATTTCACTTACCTAATTTACATGGAGGGACTTCACATGATCGTATCACATCTGGGATAGAAAGTTGATGGGAATAACACAGTGAACCTGCTAATTCACCATTATGTGACCAGGTACACAGAAGGTGTCTAGCCTGAACACCTACTCCACCACATGAACGTGAGCACTAAAATAAAAATAAACTTTACATTTATAATAATCTATTCTCAGTTAATTTGAATTCAACTAGTAACAGTTTATGATACACTGGAAAAAAGTGAATCAAACACTGAGTGTACTTTAGCTAATCTATAATTTGTTTGAATTATTTTTGAAATAAGAAGGATTGTTGTTGAATACATCGTATTCAAACTTCCTAAATCAATAAATTTGTACAGATTCATCGTATGGTTTACTAAAGTGCATATGTTTTATTTTTCCTGAATGATTGATTGAAAATATCTGTGAAATGAACTTTTAACTTGAATAGGTCTTTTTGTCAATTTAACAGAAAGTACTTGATTACTATTCAATTTGTTCACTCATTTTTTTAGTGGAAATAATAAAGAGTTTATTGTTTTTACTATGATTATCTGAAAAATTTTTAAAGTATTAAAGAATAAAAGTTGAATGAATATTTGTTTGTTTTCGCTATTTTGTACTGGTCTATAGGTTTTATAAGTAGGTGTAAAATAAACACCAAATAACTAATAGTTGGTCAATTCAACAATTTATTCCCTGAAGAAGCGACTTACACTCAGCTGCGAACTGTTAGAAATTCAATCTTCTATTCATTGGGATTTTAAAAATATGGCATCATCTTTACGGATCTTAATATTTTCTTCAAAGAAAGCAATCAGTCAGTGGCGCAGTCGATGCAAAATGCAAACAAAAACGCAATTATGAAGTCTTCTGATTACTGCAACTAGTTGCTCAAGAATAAAAACAGAAGTTGACTTAATAAAGGTCTAGCGTTATTTACAGAATTACTGATGAAACGAATATAAAAATAGTTAGATTAATAAACCAATTCACTTAGGATTAATAACTAAAAAATTAGGAAATGAAATCGATCAAAATTGAGGAGCTAAAGTACAGTTTTCTGAAATCAAGTAGAAAGTCAGAATCAATGAAATCGTCGGAACGTTTTTCATACACAGATTATTTGTGTATTCTTAAGGTTTCTGCTGTAGATAAGTGACGTGATCCGGAAAAATGACAGCGGCAGAACTGTAGAGACTAACAGTATCTATTTAGTGACCAGTACTGGAACTGTACACCAAAATAGAGATTTTTGCCGTTTAATTAGGATTTCTGTCAGACTTAAGAGGTGGCATTCAGAAATGTGATAATGTGTTTCCCTGGTTTTACACCTAGTATAATTAGGTCTATAGGAGCTGTTCAACTCATTAGTATATAAAGAGGTAGTTCTGTTTTCACCTACATTGTTATATTTATATGTTTACCCGATAAGCTTTTGTTTAAAAGTCCAATGTAATTGTATAGTGCTAAAGTGAAGATCTGGAAATCACTCATACAGTAAGCTTACTCTGATAATTCAGTCATGTAGAAAGATAACAGCGATACCAACAACGTACCTGAGACCAATTACTAACGTTCCATCGTACTTGGCATATGGGATTTTCACATTCCATATTTGGTTTATCTAATTTGTCACAATATTTTGTGGCGACGGTTCTCTCACCAATCATGCAGACTAGATTTCCACCGATTGAACCTTTACCAACATCTAAACACTGATTTGTACACTTGAAATATTAAGAATTCATACAAAGAAATGATTTAGTTTTTAAAATCAAACAAAACTCTAAGTTATCAACAAAGTTGCAATCATCTGATATTAAGATTAGACAGTAACAAATAAACATATATACCATTGGATACTATTCAGTGGTCTAGAAGTTTGGTGTTTGTTCGTGAGATCGAAGGTCCTGCACTCGGTCGCCTGTGGTGGGGTCATATTACTCAAATTATAGCGGTTCTTTTTCTACATGTTGTCTTATAAACACTGAAAATTGGATGAGGAATGAACCTTATTGGTTAAGATAGTATAAATCATTGAATATTTTTGAACCATACTCCTTTTGCAAAATATGTCTTTGCAGTTTAACTGCCTAAGGTTTTATAAAGTTATAATGGTATTTTAGTTAAGGAAAAAAAAATAAGGTACATAATGACTATTCCTATGCTATACTTATTACAATTTTTGAAGCACATAATTATTGACACAAAGAGACATCAAATATTTATACACAAGTATCCCGGTCGTTGACCTACAGGTTTAGTCTAAAAGGCAGTGGCACAGCATTAGTACATGCAACCTTGTGGTAGAAGGTGATCATGCAACATTACTTCTCTCAGGATCATGGAGCCTATACGCATCATTGGTTTAGGATTAGAATTTTCAAACTCCCCTAGGTGAACTTTCTTCACCAATCAACCTGATTTAGGCATCGGATATTCGCTTTTCTTAATCTCAGTTTCGTGAACAAAACTCCTGCGACATAAAGATAGTGAGAAGGACCTCTTCGTTAGGGGCTATATATTAACTGGCATTTTCGAAGGTTATATTCAGAAATAGATTTCAACAATGATACCAGTAAAGTGTAGTCAGTTTATCATTTACTATTTTCTGTAACAGTCTTATGTCATAATTACGATTTCGGAGATATGAATATTATTTGCCACTGATGTTACAATAAACACTTCATATTTGTTAATTTATTTCTATTAACTAACTAAATTTTCATAAATTATACATTTAACCGAATACTTTTAAGTTGTTATACAATGATATATTAGATTCTTTTCTGTTTTCTTAAACATTTTCTCATTTGACAGAAATTCTCATCACCAATTAAACGACTAAATGGAGTAGCCTAATAAAATAAACAGTTTATTTGTGATCATGACAATTAAATTTAAATCGTTTGCAAAATTCAGTTACTTGAGAGGTATTGATTAATGAAGTTATCTAATATTTTTGATAGAAGATATTAAATAATATTACATGATGAATAAGTTTAAAAATATTTGATTTTTTTTTTAAATATTATTGTATATCTATGCAGTTACAAATAAAAAAATAAAACCCAGTTATTTCGATGTGTCATTGTTTTGATTCATTTATCTATTTGATAATACGAGACAAATTATTTTCAAGTCATTAGAATGTCACAAGCAGTTATTTCCTATGGAAGCTGATCGATATCTATTCAGTAAATGATTTTAATTTCTATTTGACGGTGAATGACAAAATTTCTATCTACGTAATTATGGTCAAAAGTTTAAGATATGTATTGAGAATATTTATATGGTATTAAACTGAACTTCATAAAACCATGAATACTTCAGTCGGCTCTATTTACATTTAATACTATGATATCGATTATGGTAACTCACAATAGTTGTGTCACGGTTTTCAATAAACCATGCTGGACATTTGTTACTTTCTAAACATTTTCGTGTACTTGGTGGTTTCGGTAGAAGTTTATCAATACACACTTGATCATTCAGAATTTGATAGAATCGACTGTCAACTTTTTCACATCTGACTACACGAAACTGTTGTCCAGCTTGACCACAGCTTGTAGAACAGGTACTCCATGGTCCAACAACCCATTGAATAATTTCGTGGTTTATAGCTATTGCTTTAGGATCATCACTAAGCATACCCTTTGTCCATAATCTATTTCTTTGCACCCAATCATGGAATCCTGCTGCAGGAGTTCTAGCTGTTAACGTCACTGTGGCATTCATTGAACCAGCTATGCACGTCCAATCACCTTCATCAATTAAACGAAAGCTTCTTATGTGTAACCTTCCTCGTTTATCTACTCTTATTCTATCAGATATTGCTCCGGTATAGGCTAATATCCCGTGGTTCTGGTTAGCCCATTGTAATTCTTGTGCTGTGAAATACTGTACAGGACATCGTACGGTTACACGGGTAAACGGTATTACGAATGCTTGCTGACCAACTTTTAAATCGATCACTTTTACCTAGAGTAAAAATAAATCACAAAAGTATTTAACTGCTCAGCTGCAAACAGTTAGAATTGTTAATAGAAAAAAAACAGTAAAATGTTTTATTTATTCTTCAATAGGTTTAATGAAATAAGTTTGACAGTAAATTTACTAATCTACTCTTGCCTCAACGTCAAATAAACGTGTGTGGTATCGGAATGAAGTTTAGGCTGATACATGAGTAGCACCATGGTAAATAGATAAACAGGAAAATGTCATACCTCATAATTGGTATTGCTGATTTTCTTTTTACTTGGTTTATCTTATGCTCTCATTCTCGAAGAAAGTACTTTAATAGAGTTTGAGTTAGACAGTTGTGAAATGTGTTAAGGAAACTAAACTATTTATATTATAGGCCAGACAAAATTGTTCGTATTGCATTACACATCCAACGAGTATTAAGAATTGTGACAGTTAAATTCTATGTAAGAGACAATTTGACTTTTATATTAAAAGACTCCGTTATTCAGCTTATTTATATTTTGTCCATTAAAAAAATCAGCTTCAAAGATATTGATATGCAATACACTATGGATATAGATTAGTTTCTTATAGTAGAGTCACAAACGTATAGCTTCATATCGTCATTGTTTGATAAGCTTTTCTTAGTTGACTGTTTGTATATTTTATCTTATAGTTAATTAGTCTAACAAATATAAGAAACAACTAAGGAAATTGGTACGTATAGTTTACTTAAGTCTTTTACATCACGTTTTAAGTAGAACATTGTCAGATGAATCAAAAATGTCATGACATGAATAGAGATTTCTTCTAGTGATCGAATCAGCATGATAAATAAATTATTACATAAAGGCTAGTCTAATGGTATGTTATGACAAAATTTTAGTTCATTACTAATTAGTTGTTTTTATCTAATACATAATTTTGTAGGCGTTGGTGTTTTTTTTTTAAGAGAATTTATCTTAAATATTGAGAGTATAAGAAAGCTAGTGTTTAAATTAAGAAATGTTTAGTGATTTTTTTTCTCACAGAGTATTAGATTATGAATATAGTGTGTAACCTGCATGCGATACCATCACATAAAATAATGTGTGTACGTAAGCATCTATCAGATTATGGATCGAAACAAGAGAAGTGAATCAGTCTGACCATATTAGAAAATATAATGAAAGATTTGATAATAAGGATATCTAATTAATTATTTAGATTATCTCTCATGAGCAGTTAATTATTCAAAGCTATGATAATGCAACCGAAAATATTTGAATAGTCTAAAAAATGATTATTCTATCCGAGTTGTCTAGAACTTTGTTACATTTATATTATCGTATATAACCAACCATAAAAGAAAAGTAAACAAGTAGAAAATTTCTTAGGAAAAAAAACTACTTTTCGCATTTGAACAATAGTTAAAGTGTCAGTATTGATCATTGGTGGCTTGCTGTCACACTTTCTTGAACTTTCTTCAAAGCATCGTCGCCATGTTGGTTGAATAGCTTTGCCAGTCATGTAACAAGCTGCCATTGGTAATTCACGAAGTGATCCATTGACTTGTACAGAAATACACGATAATTGACGTACTTGTCTGCCTGGACGACATGGATCACTTTGGATACACTATGAAAAAAAGATAATTAAAAAAACTCTGATATATATTCTTATTGTATTTAATTTTTTAAATAAATAAAACGGGGTTGTGTAGTTGACTGAATATGGAACTGAACACCGAATGGAAGTAACTAGTGTGATATAACTTACCAAAAACAAATAATCTGTTAAAGTAGTCCTTGAAAGACTAAAATAGTAAGAAAGAAAGGAAACTTAAATGAAGACAGTGCGTTTAGAAATCTAAGGGTTTGTTGACTTTTTATAATAGTGTGATAAGAGTTTATAGGGATACGTACATTATTGGTCAGAAATCTTGTTATTTCTTTCAGATTTTATTCACTTTAAGTTAGTGAAGCATATCTTCTGTATTTTAATAAGATGTTTAGTCAAGTATATGATACAACTAATTTGGTTAAGGAATCAGATCCTTTAGCAAACACAATTACTATGTTTTCATATTTATAAGGTTATAGTTTTATATGCAGCCCAACCAAAGGCATGACCATGATAGTTTCTTATGATGATAGCGTTCTAAATGTATTTGGAACTGTCCTCTTTTTAACCAAGTGGTTGAAAAACTTACGTAAAGCATAACTGAGTACTGAATGTCCATCTTGGTCAAATATTTCTTTTTCTGTAGTTTACGTTCCTAGTTACATCTCGAACTTATTGAAGTCACTGATCGATCAATGTTAGACCACCATTAGAAACCCGAAAGCACTGAAAGCTCATTTCTTCCTAGTATGAGACTCATCAACAGTGTGTAGTCACAAGTCCAAAAGTGGCAGTCGAACCCAGGATATTCGGGACCGTACTCGAACGCATAACCTCTAGATCACTGAGCTGGCATCCAACTGTGTTAATATCTGGCTTCAATCAATCCACGATATTCTGCAACCTCATCCATTTTCTTCGGTGGGTACCTGCCCCGAACCCGACTCAGCTGGACTTCACTAATCACAGCTTATCCCTAGAACTCACTAGAGATATAATGACAATTATCATGTCAGTCAGTCAGTTACAACGTAGAACTTCGTACATGACTGACTTTACTCATGGGCGACTAGCTTCAAAAGAGAATTCGTGGAGTTCTGATGTAAAGCCATGACTAGCGGAGTTAGATAAAGTGAGTGTTAAAAAATGGTTAATCATAAGAAAAAATGCCATTACATTTGCTTTTTCACTTGTACTGTTGCCCAGAAACAAATTCTAAATTAAACTAAATGTCCTCTAGAAAACTAAAAAAATATTATATAGACACTGTTAAGTATCTAACACAGTTTAGGTATTTATTTCAAATGAGCTGGCATAACTAAACATTGTTATACTTTGCTAACTAATCACTCAAAACATCCATATTTTGTAATACCTTACAAGTTCATTGATAAAACTTACGAAAAGAACAAAATAAATGACAGTCAGTTTATGTGTTCACCAACTAATAGAGATACAACTGTTCGTATTAAATACACAGCTTATGACTTACCTTACCCCATTTTTCCGGGACAAATTCAGGCTTACATGCAAATCGATTGCATGATGCATGTCGCTCAGGTTGACGATAATTGCCACAATAGTAAGATGCATCAAAATCTGATATCACAAGATCGTCATCTTTGCCTGAATAAATACATTGTACATCACGAGACATTATACCAAGTCCACCGCATGTTTGTGAACAATGTCCCCAGTTAGATACTCTCCATCGATATCCTTTACCACACGGTCCAAGTTTACATGCTCTTTGATTGTTTTCTGCGTTCTGTGTAGTGGGATTAGGTAGATGTTGACATTGTGATTCATCCAACACTGTAGTAGCATTGTAATGATCATTTTGAACACATAAAAATCTACGCACTTCAACGCCATCACCACATTCTTTAGAACAACTGGACCAACTTTCTGAAGGCATCCAGAAAGGTGGAGTGACACTGAAAAAAGATACATATTTTTGTACTTAATATATGACAAAAAGCGTATTAGTTGCAAAGATGTGTAGTTAGAAATGAATCTATCCCTATGAGGAAGAGTGAACAAAAAATTTCTAACGATTCCCCGCATAATATTTTCAAACAAAATTATTGGTCGTATTTTAGTTATTCTGCGCTGTGCATGAATACAGAAAGCTCCAAGAGTTTCTTTGGTAATTTTATGTTATCTCTCAGTACTTCTTTTTTCCATCTTTTTTCAGAGTATATTTTGTTTACAACTCATTCTTACCTATTGGACTGAAATGCATTGGTCAGAGAGTATGAAATAGAAGGAAATTCTTCAAAGCAGTTTGATAAGTAACGGAATGAAACTGATAGCTAATTGATAAGGTAGATTATTATACAACAAAGATGACTATTATCTAAGAGAGCTATTTGTCGAATCGATTAATTAATTAATTATGTTCAGTGATCTGACCTTACGACTGTTTACGAAAACGTCTATAACTACAATATTTGCTTCACCTTTAATTATTTTCCACAATATGTTTTTCAATCCATGAAGTGTAACCTGAAATCAGCGTTACATAATAAATATGCCTCGTCATTCTCTATTCCTGGGCCTTGAAAATCTATCAGAGAATTTAATTTAATCCATCTTCTAATTTTTGTGATCAGTGGCTCGATCCAATTAACTAACGAAAGAAGAACTACGTGTTTAATCAAGTTGACTGATCATTAATTTAATTGATGATCTCAGTGTCGACTGAAGAGCTTAGAACTTTGAGTTATATATTATGATCTACTGAGAAATCGATATTTTAAGAGTACTAAACTAGAATGAAACTTCTCTACATAACTTCAATATTTTATGTGGCTCAGTTGTCAATCTCGGTTTACAATAGAAACTGTCATTCTAAATTCACTAATCTTAATAAATACTGTTTATTGAATTATTATTTTTATCAATATTATTATTAAAGAAAAGTCTTTTCAAACCCTTCAATCCAAACCATGTATTTCTTCAAGTAAGTCCGTTCTTCTCGAAGTTGGCTTTTCCTTGGAATTACAAGTCGGAAAACCATTAAATACCAGCGAGTGTTGGATAACTCCATATTGTGTAATTTTATGACTTCTCAGTAGTAGGTTTTCATGAAACAAAATTCAACAGAACTCAAAGTTTTCAGATCTCCGAATTATAAACTGAGTCACGTAATAGTCTCTCTCTTAGCTTATATAACAACTTAAAGTTAGGAGATGGATAGTGGCTAGAAGTGGAATCCAGGATGTATGTTTCGTCCTACTTGAGACTTGTCCACTGGATGGATTCGTTTCTCAGAGTTGATGTTCAGTTCAAAACTGGAACACACTACCGTTAGCATAGAACGTCATCGCATTATCCACTTATCTACTTACTGGACCCAGATAGCCTCTGGCTTAAAGGATTTGGATGAAGTTTAATTCATTTGTATTGGTAGCCTGTTGTGTTTATTGTTAATGGGAAGGTTCAAACTACCAGTACAAAACGAATGAAAGTTGAGATGATTTTCTAATGAAAACTTAGTCAACTAATAACTTTATCATTAGTAAAATTTACTTAAGCTTAGTTAACAAAAAGTAGCATTTAGAAACATGTACTAAACTGATAGCCATAAAACGTAAAACTAGAAACATAAACCGAATTGAATGACGACGACGTTGAAATGTTTTAAAATGTAGTGAAACCTAACTGTTAACTAAGCCAACAGTCTTTCAACTATATTTTAATCCAAATAATATCTGTTAAGAGTTTGTTTATTCGTAGGATTAATGAATTAAGATTGTATATTTTTTTAATAAAACTTTTTAAACACCTTCTCATAACTAAATGAACAAAGAACTATTCATTCTTTGTTACTTAAATTCTAACATTTGTGTGATACGTTTTAGCAAATTGATTGACTGTGTATTTATTGACATTTTTGTCTAACGGATAGTAATGAGAGACAAATGAAAATATTTTACCATTATTATTTGATAGAAATTTTTTGTACTAACCTAAATTGTTAAAAATCAAAAAGAAGTTAGTTAATAGATTAACTAAGAAAATAAGAAATTTTAGTACACCACTATTTGAAATTTACCTTGATATCATTTTCTATTGTTATTAAGAAAGAATTTCTATGAAATGAAATGAAATATAGATTTCAATAATTTATCTGTTCATTTTTCTATTCTCTTTTCTATAGGCCACACCAGATAATATTCTGAAATGTGTTCTGGCAAAAGTTTGCTTTGTGTGAACAATACAGCCGATTTCAAACAAAAGCAAGTAAATTCATGACATACATCGATGTGGTTTAAAGAAACAGTTTATTTTTAAAATATCTATGAATAAGAAGGAGGCTGGAGATGATAATGAGAAGCTTCGCAGAGATTTCGAAATTTTTTTTTTTTAAGATTACCTCTGAGTTATCTTTAGTGTTCATAACATGACTTTTCTTTCCGAGTGCTAGCGATTTTTTCACATTTTTATCAATGAAACTGTACAAATAATCGTTTATGAAGCGTATTGTCGGATTGTTAGAAGTTTATCACCAGCTTTCACTGAAGTATCATTACTGAGGCGTTCTTTCTGCTCAGTGATTATAGTAAAATGAGTTATTTGTTTGATTGTTTGTTGGTTGATTCAATAAGGAATATGTATACAAAAAGCTTTGTTCAAGTTTTCAGTTAAAGCAACAGAAATTTACTTATTACTTATTTACTTACTGAGCTAAAGTTACAGCTATCAGTCAGATGTGTTTACAGCTAGATCGGTTAACTTTAGTATCTGTTGTGGTATGTTAGAATACGTGCAAATTAATGATCTATAATAATCAGTTTCATTCCGATGATTTATTTTAAGGAACTTGATATTTAATTAACTGGTGGTGTCACTGGATCAGGTTTCATCTACTGAGATTTGTTCTTTTGTGGCTTAATTAACTGATTAGAAGTAATTTGGTAAACAAAGAAGTGAATGGTAAAACTTTGTATCCGCTCTTAATTTTAATATATTTTACTGGTTAATTAATGAATATTGCATTTATTTATTTATGAATCATATGAATGACCTAAATTTTATCTTATTTATTTACTTCATATGACGCCGTGGTATTTTCTATGAGTTATAAGTTTATTTTAAAGATATTTTACGTGAATTTTGAATCATTGATAAGTATCCTGAATTATCTACTAATTGGTAAATAAATATGGAGTTATGTGATGTCGAATCGTTCCTATGAGCATTTAAAGTCTCCCTTAGTGTCTAAGAGTTAAAAGGGGAAGAATAATTCCAATGTCCTGAATACTTCATACTTGTTTACTCGTAGTTTGAGATATTTGAACTTAACACATTTACCTTCACTTCTAAGAAGCCAGCAGTTTATAATGTAGAAAAGTCTGAAACTTCAACGACACAGATTCTCTACGTTCTATGGTTATCAACAATGTTCAGATTAACATTATTTTCTGAAGAAAACGTTCTTTAAGTGAAAAAAGTAATGCAACCGCAAACGAAGAACTTGAAAAGACAGTTCTCTAAGTTTGATCGAACAATACGAATTTCCTGGACAATTACGGAATGAGCAGTGAATAAGAAATAACCATCACAACCTTGCGCAAGCTAAACAGGAAATATTTACCAGTCATCTAAATATCTTGAATTTGAAAGTTTGTGTCATACTACTTATAAGTAGGTAAAATTGTTTGACGAAACAATTCTTCCTAATGACTTGGCGTAACTTCGCAATCTAAAATCTACTGTTTACGAATCTCAAAATCATTCTGCCTTACATTCCAAATATTCTTCACTTTACTGTGAATTATTCCTAAATAACACAAATTATGCTAAAGAGTCGGAAGATACTGTTAATTTCCCATAATTCTCTAAACGTCGGAATGATTCAAATAATAACTTGATCGAGAAATTATTTATAGTATACTGCTATTTAATACATTAAAAGCAATAATAAAATCTTCAATGTTAGCTGATGAAATTCAAAAAGATCCATTCAAAGTTCTAGAATCCAATGAACCTAAAATCCTCGTTCAAATAAAATTTTTACTTCATGTTAGTGGCCTTAGTTAAAGCTAATTGAGCTTCCATGAATTATCTGCCTATAACCGTTCTTGATATGTGAATGATGGCTAACTTTTGCAATGATTGTTGATGAAAAAAGCTCCTTATAATATATTACCATAGCAAATTTGAAGTACTAGGATAAAAATCTGTTACTGAACAGTAGGAATTCATTTACGCGTAATTTCTTAATAACAGATATCGATGGTCTTACGTTTGTAGATATTCACTTCTGAATATTCTCAGACTAGAACGAAACTCCTATTCAGTGTTTTAAGGTTTTTCATGGGTTTCTGACTTTGAGTGACATTAAGCAGTTTCCACAACCACATACTGACAATAATTTAAAGTAGCGATCACTTAATAAACATGCGAATGTTTATTAAGTGATGTACGAATGTTTAAGATAACTTAAAATGCCATAAGAAAATCTCCAGACTATGTTCAAATTAATAATCATGAATCTGGTTATCGCTCTTCTATATATTTCTGAATGAAGGTAATGAAATTCAAGTTCCTTAATAAGCCACTTTTTGGTTTGTATGTTTTGATATTTTATAAAAGTTGGTCCTTAGTTCTATATTTGAGTTAAATCAAAAGTTTCCAAAGGTGTCTTAATTCTTCTTGAACACTTAAGAAGTGATCCATTATCAATTTATCAATGATATGGTTTCTGTATACTGCTTAAACTTTTCATTATTAGTGACTTATTTACTTGTTCAACCATTACTATTTGCTTTCTTAAATGAAGTAATATGCCTGTTTCCACAGATGAAATCAAACTTGAGGTATTTTTCATGAAAATTTCGCATTTTTGAAAGCTATTCATCGATTGTGATTAAATTACAAAGAAGTAACTGTTTAGTCGTCTATCATTTGAAATAAAATCATGCCATCAAATAATAAACTTCTTTCATCGTCCTCAAGCAGTTGATAATGATTTACTGTGATGTAATTAATATGATTAATGTTTTAAAGTATGCTTTGATGAAGCCGAACAAATGTATTAGAACTATTTCTGTATTTCAGAAAAATTATTTTGATATTTTATTGTTTAATGTTTTTTTTTGTTTTTCAGCTAGAAAATGTCATCAGCATTAGGTTTAGTGAATTCACATAGAGTGTAAAGAATTCTGTTATTTAGCATAAAAACATTTTCTATTATTTAGTGAATGTTTTTTTTTGAAGATTTAAATCATCTACTTAGCTTGCTATTGGACACATTGACAATGGAACACAGATATAAGTAGTCTTGATTTTACTGGCCTTGTTGTTTTTAATACTTGTATGTGTCTAGACTTCACTTGACATAGATTTTAGACATGGGAGTTATTTTTTTAATCAGATATTTTGTGCAAAATTCATTGAGTTTACTTGATGACAGATAGATTTAGCAATTAAATACCCTGTTTATGATGTAACTAATCAACATTTTGTGTCAGTAAAAAATTATCATGATTTTGTTAGAAAGCGTGTTTGAAAATGGTGTGTATTCAATATAAAATAATATAGTTTCGTATGAACACCTGTGCTACAGTTCAGTTACTCAAATAACATTAAATGATATGAAGTTTGTACATAGAAGTCAAGAATTTTTTTCACTTTGAAAGTGAATCGTATATATGTATGTATTCATTCGACAATGAAAGCAATCCCTTATATTTTTTTTTATCATTTGGTAAACGAAGAACTATAAGAACGTGAATTTAATAGAGTAAAACAAAATGGATGAAATTAAGGAGTCGAAAAATTAGTTAGTAGAAAACATCTTACCAACCAGCTTCTTCCGATCAAACCCTAATGTTCTCCATTATTGCTAATACTTCTACCATCGCTACCACTATTGAATTTGAACTGACAGTTGCGTCCCTGTGCTAATGCGGTATGGCAACCTGAACTGATGTACTTACGTACAAAGTTCTGCGTTGTATCTCTCTGTCTGTCTGAAACATTTTTCATTCTATTCTTTGAGTAGCGGATATGAAGTATCATGGTATTCAGTAATAAAATACAAATGACAAATCCTTCGTTCATCTTAGTTCACAGAAGTTTCTAGTCACATTAACTGATTGATGATACACATAACTGTGTACACATAACATTTAATAGTGAAATAATATTGATAATATAATAAATGAAAAAGAAACTTACATGGCTGAAATTTCTACTAGAAATAAACTCACCAACATTGATAATATAAATGATTTATTAATTAAAGTATTATTTATTTGTTTATTAATGTTCTGATATAAATATAACGATGTTTTAAAAGGATATTTCAATTGTAACATCATCAATGTATTGGTTATGTTTTTAAATTTTTCTACAGTTGAATATAAAATTGATTCCATGTTTAATTGAAAATACATTATTTGCAAGGATTATGAATAAGCGGAATTGAATTCTATCTGTTTTGCCAATATTTGTAAACTTGTTTGTTCTACAAATGAGAGAAGAGAAAGTAGAAATCCTAATAAAATTGTAATAAAATTTAAAATAAACTTTATGTTTGCATTTCTTGAAAGTTTTTGAACGAATAGGAAATGTAATAGCAAGATATGACGATCTGGTTAAACTTAAAATCTGTTGCATTCAATGGAATCACATTATAAAGGTGCGTAGTTGTTGGCTGAATAGTACAATCGTAAGTTTTCAGTATACAAATTATAAACAAGATACTTTTAGGTTGATTAACTGATAACTGATATGTAAATATTTTAGTTTATCTGTCTGTTCAGATGATAATTTTTTCTTTGATATTCATAAACAATGAAATTACTTCTTAGTATTTAATAACAATATCGGTTCAATTCTATTTTAGATAGAATAATCGACTCCTGTTAGCAATTTACATTTAACAACAAGTTATACTTATATAGAAATATTAAACAGATAAACATGTTCGAATATATATAAATTGATAAAATGAATTCCACGTAGCTAAGATGATTGGATGGAAAAAAGAATGAAATTTTTGAAATTGATATGCTGTATACTACTACAGCTATCTAATTTTACTACTCTAATCACACTTTATTGATTTGTTACGATACTCGTAATTGGTAACAGGAGAAGTTAAACTATAAAAGAAGACAGAGGTGATGCAGAATCTGCAAGAATAGATGATATTAAGGTAAGCCAATAGTGAGTTATATTGATGTGATATTTGTGTTTAAATTTATGTGATTTAAGTCTTATAATATTCTATAGAAGAGATGGATCCTGGTAAGCAGTGGAATGTAAAACACTTATTTCTTCCTATTTGAGACTTGTCAGCAGTGCGACTCGAACGTTGTAACCTTTTGTTTCAAATGTTGTACTCAAAATGAACATATGTCATTTAAGTTTGATCAAAATTCAATCAAAAAGATAAACAATGATTGAATACAAGACCGTCATAAATTGAACTTATTATCTGTGTTGTGTATTGCACTATAATCCATATAATTTGACACTTTGTATTTCTTATATATAAAATGGAAGTTAGTGCATAATCAGATTATTCAAGATATATTGCCCTAAAATACACCATGTCAATTGTTATAAGTTGACTTTTTAATTGCATTATGTAAGTTTATTCAAGCGGATTAATTGCAATAAATATATTGAAGTTCATTTAATAGCTGGTAAAAATCATTTGAAGAATTATTGAGCTTCTAGTTTATTTTTTGACGTTTTTCGGTAGTGTAAACTTGCATTATGTTAAACTGATTATTGTTTCCTTAAAAAAATGTTGCTTTGAAAATAAATTTACATCGCTCACATTATAATTTCGATAATCCACTTTTAAAACACTATGTGACTACTTTAAAGATGAATATACAGGGTGTGAGAATAATTACTTTCAGAAAAGAGATGAAACTAGATTTGTTATATTTTTAACAGAATGGAAAATTTAGATTTTAGAAATTCTGTAAATTTCTGAAGAACTTCTTCTATTATCACCATTGAAAAATGATTTTTTAAATCTGTTAAGAAAAAATCATCTATTAATAGTTACAGATCTTAAAATTTTCAGCTACACTAAATTGTATATTTCAAGCCTTTTTTTAATGGGCTTCAATGTAAACTTTGAGTCAATAAACTACTCAGAAAATCAATGACAGCTTATCAACAACAGATTCGTTCACCCAGCTTTGAGTGATACTTTATGTACGAGTGCTTGAAAGTTAAAAGCCTTAACTCTAAAGAGTTACCATATGTTATGATTATTATTATTCAATTTAAAAACCACTAACAATAATTTTTATTCCTTAGATTATTATCCTGAACACTATCTTCTCACGCTATGAATAATTTGATCAGTTCTCTAACAATCTAATTTCCTTTCATTTGTTATTCTCAAAATTATAATGACGAATAGATGAGGAGAGTTTTGCTCTATTTGTGTATATTTATATCCAATCAGTTGATTTGTCTTTATGAAATACGCTTAATTATTAATAATTAACAGTTGGTTACTTCAGAATAAGTATGTCTAAGTTATGAAAAAGCACTTAAATGAAAATGCTCACACAAATACCTTTTGTATTCCAGTAATCAATATGTACAAGTTAGTTTTTTAAAATACCATGAAAATCAATCAAACATTTATTTTGTAACGTTCTCTGCTGTACCTTCATTAGTTCGAAACCATAAATAATAAAATTTTCGTTGTTTAATTCCATTATGACAATTCCATTTCAAGTATGAGTTAATTGTGAAGGAAATGGTGGCTAACATGTGTTCGGTTCGTGTGGAGGAGACTCTCCTTATAAAAACTCCTATATATTTAGCGAGAGTGGATCATGACTAGCACTAGTACAACTAAAGTGATCTCAGTACTCTTAACGACACGCTAATTTATACTTGTTAGGTTAATTTGGTTTTTTTTAAACAAGAAAATCGGTTCTACTTATTATCATTATTAGTACCATCATTTATATCTCTGATTATCTGGGGTCGGACTGTTCACTTTGAAATTTTCTTCTCTACCAAATGTTGTTTTAAATTTCAATTTTATATGTATCCCTTCTTCATTTTCAAGCTTCTTTTTCCAATTTTATCAATCAAACTACATCATTCTTTCATTGATGATCTGAAAACAATTGATTACAAATTAAAAGTTTTCAAGGTAGATAAATAGCTTTAAATGTAAGTAAATTTTATTTTTTTTTATAAAAAATATATTTTTATGATTGAACCACTTCAAATTCAAATATTTATGATACTTTTTTATATTGAATCAATAATTCTTCATTGTTTAACTATTACAACTACTGATAATTCATGTGACATAAAATCATTTTTAAATATTCTCTAGTTTGACAGTGATTATGCAATACCTTGAACTGAATACAATGAACTGAAAATATGTGGAATAGCGTAGTCAAATAACTAGTTATTGAAAATATTTAGACAGATTAGTTCGTGATTTGATATGTTCTGAATTCAAGAAAATAATTCATTGTTTAAGTTTTTATATCAACCAGTAAATGAATGAATATTGTGAATAGCTCCTAACATTGTACTAATGAAGGGTACAATTTTAAGTTTAAACAAAATAAAGAATTCATCGAATTTTAATGCTGAAATTTGTAAATTAGTATATGCTTCTGTTTGATTAAAGTAAAATGCATACATTGATTTAGCTTCTGTATGTAATAAAACTACAGAATCTATACTGTATCATTGTTTTGGTTCGGTAATTTAATCGATTTCATTGTTTATTTTAATAGATATCTACTGTTAAGTTAAATTTGATTCTATCAATTTAAATAAAAATGAAATGTGAGAAACACTGTGCGAAAATGTGTGTGTAGAAGTTGTGCAAAATACAATGTCGGGTTTGATGTGGTTCAATAGTGTTCAATATTTTAATTTCAAACTGTATCTTTAACTCTTATATCTCTTTAAAATTTATTTTCAAAATGATTTCTGTCAATTCGATAATCCATACTTGTGTCACATGCTTGATTCTCTGCAAATTAGTGAATTTCTGAAATTTTTACAGTGTTACATTGATATGATAATATTCAACCGCCTGGCATCGTAGCACTCGATATCAAGCTAAATTGGAGCTTCTTCAATAGGATCCATTTGGTACTAAAATGGATTAGGCAAATCTGATATCAGCTACTACTCAGTGACAGATTAATTTCTCATATTTCTTTGTCCTACGAAGTATTGGTCATAGGTTGAATATCTCAGTGGTAACATCTTAGACATTGAAACTGGATGTATAGAAATCGAATCTTCGAAAAAGCAACTCCTCTTGCAAGAGTAGAGATACACTTTATTGACTGGCACCACATAACCTGAAACCGGTATCTAGAATTTCCTGTTGAATACCTCAAACCACCTGAATATTGTTTATTATAAATACGTGACTTTTAAAGCTTCCACAGTGTGATGAACTGTAGTAAGAGATGTCTTAGAGACCATGTGTAATTCAACTTGACACACAAGATATAAACATTTTCGTAAGTCTAAGTGAAAACAACAGATCAGATCTTCGTCATTAGTGCATTTTGTGGTATTTAATAAATATTTATTCATTCTTGCGCATTTTTAAATGATTCAACCGATGCTGAAAATCGACTTCCGAATATAAAATATTCGATAAACCAATATACTGGAGACTAGCTAGCAGATAAGTTCCACACGGACCTAACCGAATCCCAAAACTAGTACCAGTAATCAAATCAGCTATGGGAAAATTATTCACTGATTTTTTTGGATGGTCTTGATAAATCATTGGTTTTCAGGACTTGGAAGTGAATTTCATTTATCATTCAGGTGGGTGAAATTTTACCTGTTTGGTTTGTCTGAAATCCCTTGACTTGAATTCTGATGAAGCGTTACAAACGAAAATTAGGGAAAAGTTCATTGTGTTTTTGTTACCGGTAATCGTTAAAATAATGTTTGATTTCAGTTATTATAGGGATTAAGATAAACAGCTTGGATTAGTCGATAACGAGTACATTCATTCAGTCAAATTTTTAAGCTATCCTAATCAACAGTAATTTCTAACTCAAGCTGTCTGATTATCGGAACTAATCCCTAGATATATTTGAGCATCTTTAAACAAATCGTTGACATTTTGCCTATTTCTGATTAGATGCGAAAAAATGATCAGAAGGTTAACTAGTATGCAATTTTATACAACCATAATCTTAATCGTTATGAAAACCTTTCAGCGAATTTATTCATTTTTGTGGCCTACTAGTGGATCACACAGTTTAACGGCTAAAATTACATTTTTATACAGTTAGTTTATATTTTTTTTGTATTTCGTTCACAAATACTGAGTACATTGTTATTGATTAACCTATCATAAGAGCAATAAAACAACAACAAAAAATTATGGCAAGTCTTTCAGTAACTAAAACAGTGACACTCAATAGCAATTCTGTCTATGATCTAGATAAAAAAAATTGAAAATTACGAAAACTGAATGGA